TGATTGGACGAGGGTTTGTGCCTGATTGCGGTTAATTCTGTGCTTAATGGGAACACAAGGATCTGTGTCATGCTGGATTTGTGATGATGAGGCTGATGATGATGATGGGAATGATGAGGATGGTGGTGATGATGAGGATGATGTTTAGTATTAGGGTGATGATGATGATGGTGATGATGATGGTAGTGATGAAGATGATGAGGATGATGTTTAGTATTAGGGTGATGATGATGATGGTGATGATGATGGTAGTGATGAAGATGATGAGGATGATGTTTAGTATTAGGGTGATGATGAGGCTGATGAGGATGATGGGAATGATGAGGATGGTGGTGATGAAGATGATGAGGATGATGTTTAGTATTAGGGTGATGATGATGATGATGATGATGTTTAGTATTAGGGTGATGATGATGATGGTGATGATGATGGTAGTGATGAAGATGATGAGGATGATGTTTAGTATTAGGGTGATGATGATGATGATGATGATGATGATGTGAATGATGAGTCCAGTTATGATTCAAACATTTCCAACATCTCCAGTGTTGTAAAGAGTCAAAATGTATTTAAATAAACCCAGAAGTTCTCATTTTGAAAATTAAAAAACGTTTTTAATCTCACGAGATAATCCGCTTCCATCATATTTGTTGGTATTCGGCCTTAATCCCCTTTAATGTTTGTTCTTTTCTCCCAGTCAAATAAATCCTTTGTTGTTTCATTTGAATGACAGCTCCTAAAGACACGCCCCTTTGTGGGTTGTGTTAGTCGGACCATTACAACACACTGTGTTTGTCGAGTGGAACGCTGTGCCGACACATTCCCCGACTGCACCCGCCCCCCTCTGACCCCCCCCCCTTCTGCCCCCCCCTCTGCCCCCCCGACACCCAAAAGACAGTGTGCACCTACACGTGCACGGACATCAGTGCACTGAACCATGAGGACGCACGTGTGTGTGTGTGTGTGTGTGTGTGTCAGCTGCAGAGGGAGAACCCGGTGGATCGAGCCTCACGTCCTCCTTCCTCATCCTCTTCTTCCTTTCTCCTCTTCCTCTCCTAGTAAACTCCCAGCATGCAGCAGTGTTTTCAGGCTGACGACATCTTTGCATTGAAGTTGTGTACAGTGTGTTAGGACAAGGATTAGAACGTGATTACTCTGATATTTCCACGGCAACAAAGGACCATCATCAAATGTTAGCGTGCTAACGTGCTAACTGTTGAACATGTTAGCACGTTAGCTAAAAGTCCCTCTTTAATATTTCAATACTCTTTCTTTCCTTGTCTTAGTCTTTTGCTGTGATTGGAAACACACACACACACACATGGAAACACACACATGGAAACACACACATGGAAACACACACATGGACACACACACATGGACACACACACATGGACACACACACATGGACACACACACACGGACACACACACACGGACACACACACATGGACACACACACACGGACACACACACATGGACACACACACATGGACACACACACATGGACACACACACACGGACACACTGTCTCTCTGTGATCTCATTGGTCGGTTTATGTGAGTAGTTTTGTTTATCCAGGTCAGTAACTTGATGCGATTGAGTCAGTTTAACAGTTACCCGAGGGCCTTTTCTCTCTCTCTGTGTCTCTCTCTTTGTGTCCCCCCCCACATCCCCCCTCTGTCTCCCCCTGTCTCTCTCTCTCTGTTACACACAGATTGTGCAGTTTTGTGTTAAAAACACAATTAAACTACAGTCTAAAATACTAAATACATAGTCATAGATTTATCACAATTTCATATTTCAAAATGTGAGATTAAATTAATTCTCCATTGCATTCCATCTATATATATATATATATATATATATATATATATATATATATATATATATATATATATACATTTAAAAACACTTAAAAACATGTAAACACAAACAACGGTGTCCCCCATGAACACATGTCAATAAGTCAATTAGAGGTTCATGTTGAGGTACTAAAGGACCTCTGTGGCTTTCATGAGGTTACCCTTTATACTCGGTACATGGAGGACAGTAATCCTCCTCTTCCTCATCCTCGTCCTTTTCAGCTGTCAGATTGTTTGTTTACTCACAAATAATTAATGACCAGTTGTTGTTGTTTTCGGACCATCTGCTTCCTGTGTCATCAGATGAAAAAAGATGGAGGTCTTTCTGCTGCTGTGTCCCAAAAACTGAGGAGTCTTTCCTTTCCAGAGCCGATGAAGGCCTCGTGGCACGTGTAGATTTGGACCGTTAGCTCATAGAATACAGCGAATACCTCATTTATATACCTATGTATGTGTATACACATACATGTAAATACACATATTGAACACGGAGGCCTCCAGATGAGCGGGCAGGTGACACTACCTGGTGTCCGCGTACACCGTGTAGATCCATCCAGACTCCCTGCTCCACCTGGACGACAGGTAAATGTGTAATGGGAATATTTTTCTCTTTCCATGGCTGAACACACTGCAACACGGCTGATGTTCAACGTGGATCAGCTGATCAATGTCTTCTCCTGCGGATCACGTGACACCTGTCAGGCAGGAGACGCCGTGTCCTTCACATGGCATGTTTTATTCAGAGTGCTGCGCCAGCAAACACCACCGGCCTCTGGCCCAAAGGTCGCCGTGACAACGTGAAGGAGGAGAGAAAAAACATGCTCTCTGTGTGAAGAGCTGCGTACCGCTTAGTGCGTGTTCGAGTCGTTGTCAGCAGCTCATGTGTCCACCTGCTTCAAGTCCACCGTCATCAGAAGAACACCGTGACCTGCCTGAAGGACAATCGTCCCGTCGCACTCACCGCAAAACTGATGCAGAGCTTCGAGAAGGTAGTCATGACCCACGTCAAGAAGATCCCAGACACCGTGGACGCGCTGCAGTTTGCATATCGCCGTTCATTTCCTCATAGACGTCTATGGGAGCAGAGGAGTCGCCCCCTGCTGGTCACTACAGAGAAGTAGAGTCATTTCCTCATAGACGTCTATGGGAGCAGAGGAGTCGCCCCCTGCTGGTCACTACAGAGAAGTAGAGTCATTTCCTCATAGACGTCTATGGGAGCAGAGGAGTCGCCCCCTGCTGGTCACTACAGAGAAGTAGAGTCATTTCCTCATAGACGTCTATGGGAGCAGAGGAGTCGCCCCCTGCTGGTCACTACAGAGAAGTAGAGTCATTTCCTCATAGACGTCTATGGGAGCAGAGGAGTCGCCCCCTGCTGGTCACTACAGAGAAGTAGAGTCATTTCCTCATAGACGTCTATGGGAGCAGAGGAGTCGCCCCCTGCTGGTCACTACAGAGAAGTAGAGTCATTTCCTCATAGACGTCTATGGGAGCAGAGGAGTCGCCCCCCTGCTGGTCACTACAGAGAAGTAGAGTCATTTCCTCATAGACGTCCTATGGGAGCAGAGGAGTCGCCCCCTGCTGGGCACTACAGAGAAGTAGAGTCATTTCCTCATAGACGTCTATGGGAGCAGAGGAGTCGCCCCCTGCTGGTCACCTACAGAGAAAGTAGAGTCATTCCTCATAGACGTCTATGGGGAGCAGAGGAGTTCGCCTCCTGCTGGTCACAACGAGAAATTAAGAGTCATTTTCTCAGAGACGTCTATGGGAGCCGAGGAGTCGCTCGTTGCTGTTCACTATGAGGGAGTAGAGTCATTTCTCCTAGACGTCTATGGG